TAATAAATCTAAAAACTCCAAAATTTAAAATATCGAATAGATGAAAATGTTGAAAAACGTAAAATTTAAAAACTCGCAAAATTTTGAAAAATCGAGTAAGTAAAAGCTCAAAAAAAAAATAGAAAGTCGAAATGACGAAAAATTGGGAAATCGAAAACTGAAGAACTGAAAAATCGAAAAATCTAATAACTGAAAAATCGAAAAAGCGAGAACTCGAAAATTCGAAACATCCAAAAATCAACGCAAATTTTTGAAAAATCGAGTAGGTAAGTAAAAAGTCAAAAAACAGAAAGTCGAAAAATCTAGAAATTTAAAAATCGAAACCTTAAACAGATAAATCGAAAAATTGGAAAATAAAAAAATCGATTAATCAAGAAATTGAGAAAACGAAGGATCCAAACGAGAAGGCAAAAAATTGAAAGACTGAGAAATCGAAACAACAAAAAAAGTGAAAAATCTAAAATTTAAGAATTCGTAAAATTGAAAACTTAAAAAATCGAGCAATCAAAACATCAACAAATCGAAAAATCCAAAAACTGAAAAATCGAAAAATGTAACATAGAAAGTAGCAAAATTTTGAAAAATCGAATAAATAAATTATTGAAAAATCTCAAAATTGAAAAATCTTTAAGAAACTTAAACATTGAAAATTTGACTATTTGAAAAACAGAAATCGAGACATCGGAAAGGTAAAAAATTGAAAAATTAAAAAATCGGTTAACCGAGAAACTACGAAATCGAAAAATCCAAAAATTTATAAAGCCAAAAATTGAAAAATCGAAAAATCGAGAAGAGGAATTATTGCTGAAATACTGAGAAATACAGAAAAATCGAAATCGAAAAATCGAAAAATCGCGAAATCGAAACATGAAAAAATCAAGGAGCCGAAAAATCGAAAAATTTTTTTAGAATTTTTTGATATCACAATTTTTCCATTTTTTAATATTTCGGTTTCATAATTTTTTGTTTTTGCAACTTTAATTTTTTCAATTTTCAGTTTCTTCACTTCCGAGTTTTTCAATTTTTCGTTTCTTCAGTTGTTCGATTTGCAGTTTTTCAAGTTTGTAATTTTTCTGTACTACAATTTTCGATTTTTATTTTTCATTTGCCCCATTTTTTAATTTTCATTTTCTCGATTTTATATCGCAATTTTTCGTTTTTCTTTTGTTTACTTCGTCAAACTTTCGTTCTTTGATTTTTCAATTCGTCGATTCTTTAATCTTTCGTCTCTGATTTTTGGTCTGCAATTTTTCATTTCGGTTTTTCATTTTCTTTATTCTTATAATTTTTCGAGTTTTGGATGTTCGGATTTTATAGAGTTTTGTTTTTTCAATTTCGATTTTTTCAATTTTAAAATTAAAAATTGTAAACTCGAGAAATTTTAAATTGAAAAATTGCAAAGTTTAACAGTGGAAGAAACAAAAAAAAATAAAAATTGAAAAATTTCCAAATCGAAAAATTGGAGAAATGAAAAATTCAAAAAATTAAAATTGAAAAAAGAAAAACAAATTCTAAACAATAAAAAATCGAATATTTGAAAAAATAAAGCAAATAAACGGAAACGAAAAATTGCAAACAGGAAAGTTTAAAAATGAAAACTCGAAGAGTTCTATGTCGTAACATCGAGGCAACAAAAAAAAATCCAAATCGAAAAATTAAGGAAATCGAAATTGAAAAAACTAAATTTTATAAAATTGGAGACTCGATAATCGAAAAACTGAGAAATCGAGAATTGTAAATCGAAAAATTGAAAATTTAAACTTAAAAAATCCGATAAATCAAAAATTGAAAAATCGAAAAACGAGAAAGCAAAAAATCGAAAGATTGGAAAATCGAAAAATCGAAAAGATGAATTAGTGTTGAAACACTGAGAAATCGAGAAATCGAAATCGTAAAGTTTAAAAATCGCGAAATGGAAACATGAAAAAATCAAGAAGTTGAAAAATCGAAAAATTTTTTGATATCACAATATTTCGTTTTTTCATTACGTTTAATTTTTTTAATTTTTCCATTTTTTAATATTTCGGTTTCATAATTTTTTGTTTTTGCAACTTTAATTTTTTCTATTTTCAATTCCTGTACTTCCGAATTTTTAAATTTTTCGGTTTTTCAAATTTTCAAGGTCTTGATTTTTATTTTTTATTTGCCCCACTTTTTAATTTTCATTTTCTCGATTTTATATCGCAATGTTTCGCTTTTCTTTTGTTTAATTCTTCAAACTTTCGTTCTTTGATTTTTCAATTCGTCGATTCTTTAATTTTTCGTTTCGGTTTTTCATTTTCTTTATTCTTAAAATTTTTCGAGTTTTGGATGTTCGGATTTTATACTTTTGTTTTTTCAATTGCGAATTTTTCAATTTTAAAATTAAAAATTGTAAACTCGAGAAATTTTAAATTGAAAAATTGCAAAGTTTAACAGTGGAAGAAACAAAAAAAAATAAAAATTGAAAAATTTCCAAATCGAAAAATTGGAGAAATGAAAAATTCAAAAAATTAAAATTGAAAAAAGAAAAACAAATTCTAAACAATAAAAAATCGAATATTTGAAAAAATAAAGCAAATAAACGGAAACGAAAAATTGCAAACAGGAAAGTTTAAAAATGAAAACTCGAAGAGTTCTATGTCGTAACATCGAGGCAACAAAAAAAAATCCAAATCGAAAAATTAAGGAAATCGAAATTGAAAAAACTAAATTTTATAAAATTGGAGACTCGATAATCGAAAAACTGAGAAATCGAGAATTGTAAATCGAAAAATTGAAAATTTAAACTTAAAAAATCCGATAAATCAAAAATTGAAAAATCGAAAAACGAGAAAGCAAAAAATCGAAAGATTGGAAAATCGAAAAATCGAAAAGATGAATTAGTGTTGAAACACTGAGAAATCGAGAAATCGAAATCGTAAAGTTTAAAAATCGCGAAATGGAAACATGAAAAAATCAAGAAGTTGAAAAATCGAAAAATTTTTTGATATCACAATATTTCGTTTTTTCATTACGTTTAATTTTTTTAATTTTTCCATTTTTTAATATTTCGGTTTCATAATTTTTTGTTTTTGCAACTTTAATTTTTTCTATTTTCAATTCCTGTACTTCCGAATTTTTAAATTTTTCGGTTTTTCAAATTTTCAAGGTCTTGATTTTTATTTTTTATTTGCCCCACTTTTTAATTTTCATTTTCTCGATTTTATATCGCAATGTTTCGCTTTTCTTTTGTTTAATTCTTCAAACTTTCGTTCTTTGATTTTTCAATTCGTCGATTCTTTAATTTTTCGTTTCGGTTTTTCATTTTCTTTATTCTTAAAATTTTTCGAGTTTTGGATGTTCGGATTTTATACTTTTGTTTTTTCAATTGCGAATTTTTCAATTTTAAAATTAAAAATTGTAAACTCGAGAAATTTTAAATCGAAAAGTTTGCAAAGTTTAACAGTGGAAGAAACAAAAAAAAAATAAAAATTGAAAAATTTCCAAATCGAAAAATCGAAGAAATGAAAAATTCAAAAAATTAAAATTGAAAAAACAAAACATAAATTCTAAACACTAAAAAATCGGAAAATTGGAAAAATAAAGAAAATAAACGAAAACGAAAAATTGCAAACAGGAAAGTTTGAGGCAACAAAAAAAAATTCCAAATTGAAAAATTAAGGAAATCGAAATTGAAAAACTGAAAAATCGAGAAATAGAAATCGAAAAATTGAAAATTTAAACTTAAAAAATCCGATAAATCAAAAATTGAAAAATCGAAAAACGAGAAAGCAAAAATCGAAAGATTGGGAAACCGAAACACAAAAAAGTGAAAATTTATATTTTGCCTTTTTTCTTAATATACGTAGTATATTTTGAGCAACACGATACTCATTAACATGTTTCTAATTCCTTGTAAAGAAATGAGTATTTTGCAGTTAAGTTCCGCCTCCTTGATTCTTGAATAAAAAAAATCATCACAAATGAGATAGGGCGGGTGGGCGGGCTTACATTTTGCCTTTTTGTTTTAATATGTGTAGTCTTCTTTTCAGAACAAGAAACTTAAAACATGTTTGAAATGGAAATATTAGACAATTTTAACTAATCTGAAACCAAAGATCCACGATTTGGAACGACGAATGTTGTTTCCTCCCCTTCATTGCGCGATTGGACCTATCCGGACGCTTTTACGTCTATTGCGACAGTTAGTATGACCCAAGTATGTCAACGCTGCGACACAGTAGCCACATTTTAGGATTTGATGAGACGGTTTTCAGTTTCTCAGGAAAAAAATGGTATCAAGGTGTCAGGCAAATAGATGGAAATAATGAAAACATATTTATTAATAGAACAATGATTGCATGTATGAAATGATTTTTATTACACTTCAAACTTCTAAAGGTGTAACAAACACATATTTACCCAAGAGTAAAATACGAAACCTGAAAACGCACATTTTTATTACATCTATGTTAAGTTAAAAGATTAGATATTGCGGTCATATATAAAATCAGGGATACACCGGGAGGATTACAAAGTAACATTCGTTGTAAAGTGTAGGTTCTATTGAAGCAGACGGACCAACTTGACGATTTTAAGACGGACAGCTTAATGGGATTAGTAGTGGGCGTACTGGTGGCGATTTCGTAACTGTTTTCCACTCCATTTGGTAAGGACGTCCGAAGAAAAGGATAATAGTTTTTAAACGCTTTCAAATCGCGGGATAGATAAATTTGAATTATATAAAAAAGAAGAGTAATGACTTTCTCTAGGAACTCCTGTATTGATCTAGGCTTCCTGCCAAGATAAAAAGCGTCTCGATGTCATGTTTACGTCAAAACAATTACGTCACAGCAAAAGCCGCCCCCGAAAAATCAATCGCCCAACCCCACAAACCCCTTGTGAATCCCCACATCCCCCATCGTTTTTCCCGTCACACAACATCACCTGTTCCCGTACATCCCATAAATGGGTAAGTGGTGCAATCCTTCGCCCATGCGTATTTCCTCATTCTCCGCATCTCGCACGCTTTTCTGAGAAATCTCTCAATCGATTTTCTTTCATCAAGCTGGCGCACGACCATGCCCAAGCCGTCCTCTCCCGAATCCGCCGTCTCCTACCTGCTCCGGCACCTGCTTCTGACCTGCTCGACCCATTGTCCCATCGGCGCCAAAACCCATGGCCACAATCCGAACAACAATTTACCTGGCTGTGACGTGTATAAACTCGTTACCAAACCCGTGCGGCGTCCTCCCCTCTCTGTCTAACCCATCGCGCTCTTCGTCGCTCTCTGTCGCGGTTTCCCCTTCACTCGGTCCGCGTAGAGGGGATTTTATCAAGAGGATCAAACACCGTCAAGATAACGGGAATTGGTAGTATTGTCGATTTTCGCAATGGTGGTGACGGTTCCGTGCAAGGGTTGCCCCGAAATCGGCGCGGTTTGACCTCTCCGCGTGCTCTTTTGTGCTCCGTGCGTGGCCATATTGACCACTTTTCCACCTTTTGCCTTCAGGAGTTCGTACGTTCGAACATGCTTTCATTTGCGTTATGGTCGGTGCGAGTGTAGTTGGTGTGTGGTGCGGTGGACCTTAGCGATTTTTCGAAAAGGATTAGGATTTCCGGGATTTCTGGAATATGTGAGTGCGAGTGCGGAAATTACTCCCACCAGGTGAGGAACGTGTTGTTGTTGTTATTGATCACGAAAAAAATGATGGCACATTGTTTTTCCCAGAAAGGTGGGTTCGGGGGTGCACTTTAAGGTTTAAAGCGACGGATTAGGAAAAGTCTTGAAAACCCAAACTATCTATTTATGTAGTTATACTTATATTGATTGAGGGAAAGTTTGGATTTAACCTTTACCACGAAAACGCAAATTTCACCCTTTTCGTGTCTCTATTTCTATACTCCCCTTCATCAAAATTTTCTACTCTCTTTCTATTATCGCTGTCTTTGTCGTGTCGCCATTCACCAAAATTAAGCTAGGAATATTTAATACAAATGAAAGCGGCTAGAAGGATACTTCTATTAACTGGTGCAAAACACACACAAACTTTATTGTTGCTATTTTTTACCTCTCTCATTTGCCAAAACATTCCAATATTATCAACCATTGTCTTTCAAATCATACTCCAGCTCCTATTTTTGTCATACTGTGTATATTTGCATCACGTGATATGCCGGACGTCTGATATTTTGTTTTATAGATAACATCGCACTCGCATTTACACTGGAATGCGATAAAAAAATGTTTTAATAACAAGCGAAATTGACGTCAAGTTTACTTTTGGATTGATTTTGACAAAAAAAAATGGGTCAAAGCTTACGAAATCGCAACCGGTCTAGCGTTTTTTGTGGTCGAAAGATTTACTAGTCCGTCTGGAGCTTGATTATGATAATGCCAGGGGCGGTTCCAGGACAACAAACTCGGAAAGTCGTTTCAAAGCAACGCAAATAACTCCAAAACGGCGTAATTATTGTGTTTTCGATCTATTGTTGTTGGAAACGTGCAATTTTTTGCGAGGTTTGAAGACTATTAAATTTCGAGTGTTGGGTTCGAAATGTATGTAAATCTGATTCCGATCAATTCATTGTGGTTGAATAATTACACGTGATTATTATGTTGGGTCGCGATTTTGTAAATAATTAGTCTAATTAAGCAAAAATTATGCAAACTAATTTTATACGTGTTTTGATACCCATTATTTTGATGTCTCTATAGTTAGCTATTTTGCAATCTTAGAATATGAAAAAGTAGTTCTCTCGTTTTGTCGAAAAATTTTTTTTCATTTTTCGACCACCTTCGAACATTAGCTAGACATTTTCGAAAATTCCTACCATTTTGCGGAATCATCAGTTGAAATATGGCAATTTTTAAGGTTATTAAAAATTTGGTTCTAAACCGAGTATTTCGAAAATCTTGTTCGGGACCAATAAAATATGTATATTTCTCGAATTAGCGCGTTGAGATCTGCATTTCAGATTTTTTTGCAGATTTGTTGTCAATTTTTCAGTCCTCAGTTTTTCAATACTGTTTCATATGAAATTTTTGATAGTTTTTCAACCACCTTGAAAGACATTTTTTGTACTTCAACTCCCAGAAGTTATTTTCGGGTCTATTTCCTCAAAAATCTAAAAACTGAAAAATACTTAGTAAAACAAAAAATCGGGAAAGTGGAAATTCGAAAAATGGAGTTATTTTAATATTTACCACCGTCGAAAATTAACTAGATATTTTTTGAAAGATTCAACCCCTAGGAGTTATTTAGGCTCCATTTTTTCGAAAATTCGTACCATTTTTGCATAATCGCCAGAAATATGCCAATTTTTAGCACTATTAAAAATTTTGGTTTTCAAACCCAATATTTTGAAAATTTTGTTCTGGAGCAATAAATTCTTTACATTTTTCGTGTTAGCACTTTGAGCTCTAGAATTTTTTTAGATTGTTTGTTAATTTTTCAAAAATCTTAATTTTTCAATACTCCCCCACACCTCTAAGAAATTTTTGATCATTTTTCAATCAACTTAGAAAACAGACATTTTTTGTAGTTTAAGTTCCAGAAGTTATTTTCGGCTCCTTTTTTTAAAAAAATCTGGATGTCTACGGTAAAAGCTTAACACGGATTTATAATCCGCAAGTGCAGGCGTTTGTAGCTTTCTCAATAAAATCAAATAATTTTAAAAACCAAGAATTGCAAACTGATACATTGAAGAAAAAAAAATTTTGAAAAATCAAAAAATTTTAATATTTAAAAGCTGTAAAAATTGCAAATCTAGAACTGAAAAACCGAAAAATAGTAAAACTAAAAATCAGGAAACTCGAAATTGGAAATTCGAAAAATGGAAAAATCGAATAATTTCGAACACGAAAAATTGAAATCTCCAGGAACTGAAAAATTTTCAAAAATTAGCTGAAGAATTCAAAACCTAGGGGTCATTAAGCCTAAAATGACTCCTAGGTTTTGAATTTTTCGAAAATTCCGACGTAATTAATTTTTTTGAAGGGGACAAACGGATAAATTTAAAACTGAACATTTGAAAAATTCTAAATCGTAATAATGTTGCAAATCGTAAAACTAAGAAATAAACTAATTTAAAAAACCAAATATTAAAATATCTTGATTATGAAAAATTTAAAAATTTTAAAAGCGAGTCGAAAAACTGAAGGAATAAAAATTTGGAATATCCGAAAATAGTAAAATTAAAAGTTGGAAAATCGAGAAACTAAAAAATAGTCAAACTAAAAATCCAGAAACTGAAAAATCGAAAAATGGAAAAATCGAATAGTTTCAAAAACGAAAAAATTAAATATCTAGAAATTGGAAGGTTATAAAACCGAAAAACTGACATTTTTCGATTATCTTCGAACATTAGCTAAAGACTTTTTTTAAAGAATTTAACCCCTTCATTTCTTCGAAAATTCCTACCATTTTTGGATGTCAATTTTTAGAATTATTAAAAAATATTTCAAAAATCTTGTTCTAACACAATAAATTCATTATATGTTTCGAATTAGCACGTTGAGATCTATACCTCATAATTTTTGTAAATTTATTTGTCAACTTTTCAAAAACTTTTTCACCAACTTGAAAATTTGCTAGACATTTTTTGTACTTCAACTCCCAGAAGTTATTTTCGGTTCCATTTCTTCAAAAATTTTTATGTCTAGGGTAAAACTTAACTTAAAAATTCGAAAAATGGAAAAGTCGAATAATTTCAAAAGCGAAAAATTAAAAATCTAGAAATTGAGGGTATGTTATTTGACAAAATCAGTCTTATCTTAACAAATACTAGTTGACCACTTTCTAAAATTAGCTAAAAACATTTTTTTGAAGAATTCAAACCCTAATAAGAGATATTTTAGGCTTCATTTCTTCTCAAATTTCTACTATTTTTTCTAAACCTCCAATTCAAGTACATTTGTCAATTTTTAAGATTATTAAAAAATATTGGTTGTCAAACCGAATATTTCGACCATTTTGAATCCACCTTTTCAAGAACCTCAATTTTTCAATAGTCCCTTTTATGACATTTTTGATCATTTTTCAACCACGTTCAAAAATCAACTAAAGACTTTTTTGTAATTCAATTCAATTTCTTCGAAAATTCCTACCGTTTTTGCGGAATCATAAGTTGAAATGTGCCAATTGTTAGGGTTATTAAAAATTTGGTTCCAAACCGAGTATTTCGAAAATCTTGTTCTGGAACAATAAATTCTTTATATTTTTCGAATTAGTGCGTTGAGATCTGCATTTCAGAATTTTCTTGTAGATTTGTTGTTAATTTTTCAAAGTCCCCAGTTTTTCAATACTGTTTCCTATGAAATTTTTGATAGTTTTTCAACCACCTTGAAAATTTGCTAAAAAACATTTTTTGTACTTCAACTCCCAGAAGTTATTTTCGGGTCTATTTCTTCAAAAATCTGGATGTCCACGATAAAAACTTAACCTGGATTCATAAACCACAAGTGTATGAGTATGTAATTTTCTCAATCAAATCAAATAATTTTAAAAACGAAAAATTGAAAATTGAAAAACTAAAGCTATACAAATTTGAGAAATTCAAAAATTCTAAAATTCAAAAGTTGAAAAATCAGATCTAGAAACTGAAAAATACTTAGTAAGTATTTAAGTAGTAATCGGGAAGGTGGAAATTCGAAAAATGGAGTTATTTTAATATTTACCACCGTCGAAAATTAACTAGATATTTTTTTGAAGGATTCGACCCCTAGGAGTTATTTAGGCTCCATTTTTTCGAAAATTCGTACCATTTTTGCATAATCGCCAGAAATTTGCCAATTTTTAGCTCTATTAAAAATTTTGGTTTTCAAACCCAATATTTTGAAAATTTTGTTCTGGAGCAATAAATTCTTTACATTTTTCGTATTAGCACTTTGAGATCTAGAATTTTTTTTAGATTGTTTGTTAATTTTTCAAAAATCTTAATTTTTCAATACTCCCCCACACCTCTAAGAAATTTTTGATCATTTTTCAATCAACTTAGAAAACAGACATTTTTTGTAGTTTAAGTTCCAGAAGTTATTTTCGGCTCCTTTTTTTAAAAAAATCTGGGTGTCTACGGTAAAAACTTAACCTGGATTCATAATCCACAAGTATAGGAGTGTGTTATTTTCTCAATCAAATGAAATAATTTTAAAAACGAAAAATTGAAAATTGAAAAACTAAAGGTATACAAATTTGAGAAATTCAAAAATTCTAAAATTCAAAAGTTGAAAAATCGATAACTCAAAAATTTAAGTTAAACGCGGTAAAAACTGCAGATCTAGAAACTGAAAAAATCGGGAAGGTGGAAATTCGAAAAATGGAGTTATTTTAATATTTACCACCGTCGAAAATTAACTAGATATTTTTTGAAGGATTCAACCGCTAGGAGTTATTTAGGCTCCATTTTTTCGAAAATTCGTACCATTTTTGCATAATCGCCAGAAATATGCCAATTTTTAGCACTATTAAAAATTTTGGTTTTCAAACCCAATATTTTGAAAATTTTGTTCTGGAGCAATAAATTCTTTACATTATTCGTATTAGCACTTTGAGATCTAGAATTTTTTTTAGATTGTTTGTTAACTTTTCAAAAATCTTAATTTTTCAATACTCCCCCACACCTCTAAGAAATTTTTGATCATTTTTCAATCAACTTAGAAAACAGACA